CAGGCGATTTAAGTGTGCTGCTTAAAAATGAAGCAGACCGGGATCTGGGGGGACTGCATCAGGAGGGGGAAGACTGATTTGGACGCATCGGGGCCGATCTGAGCTGTGCTCTGTCCCAGTAGTGCTGCAGACAGCACTGGGGCTTGCGAGAATGAAGCACGCACACACGGTGTCTGGGTTCTCCTCGCAGCTGAACCGTCTGACCTGACCGGGGGTTAGTGGGGAGGGGGTGGGTCTCACAGGAGGACGCATTTTACCTTGGGGGCTACCCTCACGGTGGCCTCGTTCCCGGGCTACAATTGTGTCCACCTTGGTCTAAATTGTCAAGATGCTTTCCAGGGACACAGGCCTTTGCTCATGGCCACTAGGGGTTACCAAGTCTTTCCAACCACGGCCTGTGTGATCCTCGCACGATTCTGCAAGGAGGTATCTTTCTACACTTCTTTCACAGGTGTGATTTGCCCAAGACCATCCGAGCGGGAGCTTTCGGGCAGGACCCTGAAGCAGCCCCTGTCTGTCCACCCTTCCCCTTAAGCTGCAGGAACACACTGCTGGGCAGGTGGATCCGTGCCAGCGTGTTTGTGCCCGGAATATTTCGACGACACATGAGTAATTCACACACAGCAAACCCGCATGGCAGGAGAATCCCCGTGTGTGTGTCAGAGGGGCTGGCAGAGCTGAGCAGCGAGCCGACCGCTCCCCTGACAGGTGCATATGGGGTTGTTTTTGCCGAACGCCCAGCGTGGCCAGGGCTGCCTTCTGGCAGAAGACGGGGACACCCTGAAGTGCTAGGTGCGCACAGTTCACTTCCTCTGCAGTTTGTGACAAGAAAGTTCAGAATTTGGGAAGGAAGGCTCTGGTTAGAGGCATGTGACCCTCGTAGGTGCACGTTATGCAGAAGAACAGGGTAGGTCTGCGCGTGACTGGCCACGTCCCCCTGGAAGGTTCTGACAAGCCCCCTAGCAAACCTCATAGGACCTCAGAAGATGCCACAGGGGACTTGCCTGTCAGGGCCTTCTAGGCTTCCTTTGTTCACAACCAACTTGGAGCCTGGGGCCTAACGGAACATTTGAAACTGAAGCAAAATCTCAAAGGCTTCCAAGATGACCAGCAGGTGAGGTTTTAACAAAAGAATCGGCGTGCAATTTCATTCAGATAAGGGGAGATCCAGCAGTTTCACACCCACGAAGCCCTGCTTCTCAGCTTGCACTGCCCCTCAGGACGGCGGGGAGGCCCGTGGCGGGGAGCGGTGAAGATGCCGACCGCTGCGATGGGTCACCCGGGGTTAACGGCCATCGCTGGAGCTCCCTTCACGTTTAGCCTGTGCTTTCGGCCGCTCAGGGATGTTTACTTCTGAGTGTGGAACTTCCAGGACTTCAGGTGAAATTCCCCACTGTGTTCCCTCCAAATACGACGACATTTCTGAGTAAAACAGCTGCTGCTCCTTCACCCCAGGTGGGAAAGTTAGAAAATAAGCCTGTGTCTGCATCAAAAGTCTGATCTTCTGACTCTGAGTGTGTTTCTAACGACTTCTCTGCTGCTTCATCCTTGAGCCAGTCCCAGGAGAAAACGCGGAGCGCCGGAACCCCGCACGAACCCCGGGGCCAGCAAGCCGGCACCCCGCCCGGAGCTGCCCTGCGGTGCTCCGAACTCCTAACACGTCGGGCTACCACCCCACGTCTGGAGGGCCTGCACCCAGAGCTGAATCCTGGTTTTTCTGGGACCGGCCTCTGCAAACACCACTGGAAACACCACTCAATTTCTCTCGACCACAGCTGGCTGGTGAAGCAGCCCTGCCACCTGGGGTCCCAGGTCCACCCGACCTCGTGTGTGACCCCTGCCGAGCCCTCGGGCAACCGTTCTGCTCTCGGCCTGGTCCCCGCTGGCTCAGAAGACGGACTCTGACAGTGCTGACCGTGCGTCCAGACTGCCTGGGGCTGCGGCCTGGGTACCTTCCCAGGCCTCCCTGGGCCTCCCTGCTCTGGTCCAGGGACCTCAGCCCTTGAGGACTGAGTCTGAGGACAGCAAAGTGGAACCTCTAGGTCCCGGGGCCTCTGAGGGGTCAAGGAGAAGCTGGACCTACGACACGTGACCGTTGTGGGATTTCCTGCTATTTTGTAGGGAGAGTTTCCTGTCCCGGCTCCAGACCCCACATCCACCATCAGGGCCTCCGTGGGCGGTGGAGGCCGGAGGTGTGGGATGCGGGGGCTGGACGGGCCGCTGAAGGATCCACACTTCTGGCTGCTTCCAGACGTTCACCATCGCACAGCAAGTTCATCTGAGGACCCTCCTCGCGTGTTTCCGTCCGGCCGGGGGCCCTCCCCGGAGCTACGCCGTTTCTTCCTGCCTCAAGGTTATTTACTGCTCTGACTTCTGTCCCCTCCATGCTTAGTAAACTCTTTGTTACACTTGTTTCTATGCGTTATGGTAAGAATAAGCCCCTCCCTGTTTTGTAAGCTCTTGGGTGCGTGTGGGGGGAACCCGGTAAAATCCCGCCCTCAGCCCACTGTTTCTCAGCGGTCATTTACTGAGCAGGTGCAGGGGCCGCTCCTTCCATCTGAAACCTTGAAGTCACACGTGGCTTTTCCCTTTCCTGTTTCTCTGTCCCACCACCTGTCCCATCACCTGTCGCATCACCTGTCCCACCACCTGTCCACCTGTCCCACCACCTGTCCCTCCACCTGTCCATCCACCTGTCCCACCACCTGTCCCGTCAGCTGTCCCATCACCTGTCCCACCACCTGTCCCACCACTTGTCCCGTCAGCTGTCCCATCACCTGTCCCACCACCTGTCCCGTCACCTGTCCCATCACCTGTCCCATCACCTGTCCCACCACCTGTCCCACCATCTATCCACCTGTCCCACCACCTGTCGCATCACCTGTCCCACCACCTGTCCCACCACCTATCCCGTCACCTGTCCCATCACCTGTCGCATCACCTGTCCCATTCTGCTCTTTGCCGTGGTATTCATTCTCCTCCTACTGCTCCTGATTCCTTGGGCACCCCTAGCTCAAATCCTCTCCTGTTAAGCCTGAGTCACTGCCACCTCCCCGTCGACGCCTATCCCCTCGTCACCCCACTGTGTGTACAGCATGCAGGACGCTTGAGCAACCAGAAAGGTTCCCTGTGACTTCCTCGAGTCTCAGAAGTGTCTGCCTTTCTTTTCTTTACTTCTTCTGCGTTATTGGTTGGGAAAATAAATCAAAAGACAGTGCCACCAGCTCAGCAGTGGCAACAAAGCAGCAGAGCCTCTTCCTCCAGCCGCCTGCCTCCGCCCGAGGAGGCCATGCTCTCTTCACTCCTGAAACGTGAGGCGCAGAGCCGCTGCCCCCCAGGTGTTTACTGATTACAAAAGCCGGCTCCCATACACACAAACTCTCCTGTAAATCGCTATTTTTCACTTATTAAAAATCACAGCTCTCTCTCCAGGTCAATGCCTGTGGAGTAAACTCATTTTTTGCATAGCTGCATAATACACCCCAGAATGTGTATGTGATCGTTTATCCAACCATCCCCGGAAGCTCCCCTACGAATGGATAGTTACGCTCTTCTATTTCATTTTCTTCCAGCGAAGAAGAGGTGCGACCCAGATCACGCACATCTTTGTGCGTATTTCCCGATATGGCTTTCTTAAAAGGTTGCTGTTAGAAAATGTAAGGGTGCATGCCCTTGTTGGTAACGTATGTCTGTGCCCATCGCCACAGCTCCCTGGTCTTTTGTTTCCGCCGAGTGAAGTCACTGTCACACTCTCCAGCCCGCACGTGTCTCCATCCCCGACCACGGACGAGGGTCAGTGTCTCCTGGCTGCTGGCCTCCCTTCTGCTGGGAAGTTCTCCATCTTACCCTCTGTCTGTTCTCCCATCCACGTGAAGTAGGTCTCTGCATGTCTGAGGTGTTGACCCCTCTACACAGCTTATCTGTTGTGAGTATTGTCTCATTTCCCCCTTTGCTGGTGGTGTTTTTCCCAAGCAGAGGTGCTAAATGTAGGTGATCCCACAGCCATGCAGACAGAGGCCAGCGCCTGCAGCCCGGGTGTCTTCCTCACCACCTGTACCGCCCAGCGGCTCTCAGCTGCCCGCCAGGTGCCCACCCTGTTCCCCGTGCCCCGCCAGGCTGAGTGCCCCGCGCCCTCGGCGGGCCTGGCGCCTCCTGTCTGGCTGTCGGGCTCACGTCTGTGGTCCGTTCTGTATCCTCGGCTGTGTGTGTGTGACCGGCCTGGAGGGGTGCTCCTAGAGGATCCACACCTGCCTCAGCCAGGGAGCCCCCAAGGGGAAGGGAAATGAGAGGGAAGGCGTGTCTCCTTCCGGCAGGGATGACCCAGCGACGTGACGGGGACCCGCTCTGCCGAGCAGCCGGCTGCGCTCTACTCTCAAGCAGAGCAGAAAGCCCACCGCCGAGGCCCCTGGCCTGTGTTAGCACTTTCCAAGTTCTTCCACCTAATTTAAATTCTGACGAGGCAGCACAGAAGTAAAACTCAAAGATTCAAGTATGTTTTGACATAAAATACTAATAGAAATGTCCATTTATACAAGGATTTGAAATTATCCTAGTGATTTTCTAGTTCATAATTTTTTAATCCAGTTTAAAAAATTTTTTTAAAGGGAGGAACATTCTGAAAGAGTAAAGAGAAGAAAAACTAGAGAAGCTTCTGTCTAGGAGTGAGAGAAGGTGCGATCTGTGAGCTGTGTTTGTGCTCAGCGGAGGTGACGTACAGGATCCCGCGGAAAACGTTCAGAAATTAAACCGTCCCAGGAGCTGTTAAATGGGAACAGACGTGAGCTCAGAGAGAACGGCTGGCTCGGAATTTTGTTTCTCCCACTTCCTGCACCTTTAGCCTCAGTTACATCACCGGCACAAACTGCAGTGAGACAAATGTTTCCCAAGAGCTTAGTGGGGTCGGAGGGGGCGACTTTGTAAACTGTGCAGTGCTGCGCACATGCAAGGGGGGGCGCTGTGCCCTGACTCATCCAGTGACCTCAGCCCGGGGACGGGCCTCACGAGGCCGCACTGATGCTCTGTCCTATGGCGGCATGTCCTTCTCTGGCAGGAGAAACGCACCAGACGAGACACACCCTCACCTGGAGGAGCTTTCCAGGATGGAAATCAGGGCAGACAAGTGACCCAAATGGTAGGAGGAGGCCCCAGAGACAGAGCATGTAAGGGAGAGGAGGAGGGGACAGAGTTCTAGAAGGAGGTGGGGAGGAAGGAGCGCTGGGCTGGGCGCAGGGGCTGTGAGGGGACCCTGAGTGCAGCCCACAGTCTCACACTGACCCCACTGGGAAGGGGTGAGGTGGCTGTGGGTCAACGTGCGTGAGTTTTGTCCATTGGATGATGGGTCGTGGGCCTGGGTGACCCTGAAATCCCCTGTGGCCCTGACACTGCCTGGTTTGGTCTCAGGAGACCGAAGCTGGGCCTCTGGAGAGAAGTCCTGCAGGAAGGCAGGGCAGTGGCCAGGGGGCCACAGACTCCGCTGGACAGGCCCGGCCCCCTGAGGACAGGACTGGGAGCTTCTCTGTCTGTCTTCTCTAACCCCAGGGTGGGGCCGGGCAGCCCAGCAGAGAGGAGAGCCGCAGAAGGAAGAGGAGCCCGGATGGATGAGGGCCTGGAGGAGGAAGGGGTGGGGACCTCAGGGCAGGACGTGGGGACGGAGGAGTGAGGCGCAGAGGTCAGGGAGCGGGCAGCTGTGACCACAGGGATGCAGTTTGTGGACCACGGTCTACACAGCCGTCTGACCCACCAGCCCTTCACATGCACGCAGCCTGGGGCCACAGAGGGAGGGTTACCTTGCAGGAAGCCTTCTCTCCTAGGAACGGAGGCAGCGTGACTCCGTGGGCAGGACACAGGCCAGGGCCAGGGCTCCTCTCTGCCTTCTAATCCTGGTCCTCCCCAGCCTGGGACTGCAAGCGAAGTCACTTAACTTCTCTGTGCCTCGATTTCTCCATCTGCAAAATAGAACAGCAGTGAGAGGCGCCTACTGGTTTCACTCTGACATGAGGAAGCAGCGTAAACAGAGACTCTCTCGGCATCAGTACCACCCACAGCTCCCCTGGGACCGGCTGTCCTCTGTCCCACCCTTGGACAATGGTCCCCATGAGGTTATTCTCCAGGACCTGGGGCTGCTGCCTGGCCCAGAGGAAAGGTCTTCCCTGGGTCCCGTCCAGGACAAGCTCTATCTGGGAAGTGTGGCTCCCTGCCAGGAGAGTAGGCTACACAGGCTGCGGGACATTCTGCTCCCCCGGGAAGGTCCTCGAACTCCTGGGCCGGGGGGACCGGTCTCCCTCTAGGCACCCTTCCTAGACCGTCCGTCCTGGATCTGGGGTGGAAGCAGCCTACGCGGCAGCATGGCAGGGTTACTCCAGAGTTCGCACGGGATCCGCACTTCGTGTGATTTCTACAGGCAGCTCAGGGGCTGCAGGACGAGGCTGGTCTCGCAGCTGACGGAGCAGGAAAAGTGCACACAGCACCAGTTTCTTACCCATTTCGTCATCTGCCAACTTTTCACATGAGGAAACTGACACTCAGAGAGGCTGAACTATGGGCTCAAAGCTACCAGCCCGCCAGCAGGAGAGCATGCTTGGAGCTGCTCCCTCGTGCTCGTGAATCGAGGATGCCTCCCAGTGCAGCTGGGCTGTGCAGCCACCGCCCAGGAGGACCCGGGGCAGGAGTCTGGGTCCCGGGTCCTGGACGAGCCTGCAGCTGGAGGCACGGGGCGCTTTCCTCCACACACGCCACAGATATTCATTCAAATGGGTTCACTCATTCGAAAGGATCCAGCGCCTCGGGCTTGTGAGGTTTGCTGGGACGGAGCATCTCTGGGCTGCTTTAAACCTCAGAAGGTCAAGGGAACGGAGAGCCTGGCAGTGCTTAGAGATGAGGCCTCGGGGCCCATGAGGCCTCGGGGCCCACGAGCAGTGCTGGCGTTTCAGCTAGCCCGCGGCACAGACGCCAGCACCACGCTCCAGCGTAACGTCAGCCTTCTTGGATGACCAGACTGCTCACGTGAACAGCAGACAACTGGACAGCTGAGTCAGATGAGAAGCCGCGGGACTCATGAGGGCCGCTTTCTGTGGAAGTCAGCCATCCCTTCGTGTTCCCTGGGCCCCGGGCATCCGGCCACCTCTGTCCACCCAGGGCTGAGCTGCAAAGCCTTCCCTCATACACTGACTTTTCCCAAGGCACGATTTCATCCCCGGACAAGGGCTAAGTGTTTGCACGTCTGTGTCATGCCAGGCACACAAGCACACAGACCACAGAGACTT